AGAAAGTTGCAGCTCCTGAAAATACCCCTTCGTGCCATTCGCCTCAAGTTGTACAAAGGCAGCATCATTGCAGGCATCAGCTGGGGACATGAGGCAATGGGATTAGCACCACAGGTGAGGCGGCGCATTAGAGCCACGATGGGCAGGCAGATGGGATTGCAAAAGACCGGAAATCTTGACATCATGTTTGACATGCATCCAAAGCATCAGGATCCGGACTATGGCGCCTTCATGGACCAGATCAAGGCTTTTCACCGGTTTTTTGGTGGATGGCCTGAACATCTGGCCAAAGATCTTGAGAGAGCGTGGCATGTTCAGAAGGACAAGCTGCAGCAGGCCAAATACCCCTGGCAGGTTGCCAAGGGTCCAGTTGCTGCCTTGCAATGCTACCTCATGGAGCGCGGATGGCAAACTGAACAGCACTATGTCTGGACCAAGCCGGGCTACAATGGACAAGATGATTTCAAGCTCGACATGCACTCTCGCTGGCCGGCTCTTAAGCAAGAGCTCAAGAGAGCGGAAGTTTGGGATCGCATCCATCGGATTAGCCAACGAGCCATGCTACAAGAAGTGCAACAGCTGCTGGACTGGAAGCCATGGCAGAGATACAGCAAGCAGCTCAACAGCCGCAATGCTTGTGCTTTGATGACCTGGCATCAAGGGGCCATTTTCACGAAACAGGCCGATGGGGAACACACTTCGCATCTCCAGTGCCCTCATTGTGGACAGCCAGCCACTCCTGTCCATTTGTTGTGGTTGTGCAAAGAGACCAAGCGGCATTTTCCTGAGCTCACCTCAGAAGATGTTTTTGAGCTTGAGCATGGTTTGAACTTAGAATTCTGGGCTCAAGGCCTTCTGCAGATCCCGCCTCTCCAGGTCTCCACAGGAGGTGCGGCCGTGCAGGCTTGGGGGTCCTGGAGCACGCAAGATGAGCTGGCCTTGAAGAGACAGGAGGTGGGTCACCATAGGCATATCAACAACTTCAAAAGATGTCAGACTTCGTCATTTTGTTGTGGCGGTGGTGCATCATGTCTTGCTTGGTGGACAGCTGTACCGGCAAGGAGCAGTCATCACCATTCTGCCCGGCGCACAGAGCTGGGCGAGAGCCTGGTACTATGGCATCAGGATGGTGGCTCACTATGTGAATCTGCAGCAACCCGTGGTTGTGCATGTCAGTTCCACCACAGCCTGGGAGGCCTGGACTCAGAGTCGACATCGTGAGGTTTTCTTTGACTTCAACGACCTCATCTCTCTGGATCAAAGACAGAGGATCAAAGTCTTGGCCATTTCACAGGCCCAGCTCAAAGACATGCCAAAGACGGAATGGTCCCTCCGCCGCCGTATGGAGGATGCCAAGAAGGCAGCCCAGGAAGTAGCCTTGTCCATGCAACCGCATGAACAGGAAGCCATTTTGAAGGCACAAGATGAAAAGTACCAGCGAATTGCACCGCTGGTCATCAAGCGTATACAGCACTTGCAGGAAGACAAGACCCATTTTCTCAATCAAGCCAGGGAAACTGGGAAAGAACTCCGCAAGACCGCCCGTGAAAAGAAGAAAGCAACCTTCCAAGGGCTACTTAAAGGCAGCAGCAGTGAGGGGCACCAGTGGATTTCCAAAGGATGCAGCATTCAATGCCAGCAATGCAAAAAGCGCCTGACTATGCACAATAAAATAGAGGAGCTGCAGCAGGGCCAAACAGAGGTCTGTGTGATGTCGGAAAGACTTTCCATCGTTGGGGGAGCTCCCCAGGAAACCGACACGGGCAGCAAAGCTTCCTTTGTGAATACCCTGCTTGAAGGCACCATGGCAGGAATGGGATCTCACCAATTCCAGCTGCAGACGAACTACGTTGTGTGTGGCAAGTGCAGCATTCGCCAGCTCAAGAACTCTTCCAAGGAGAAACTTGCAGCCATGGCTACCGAAAGATGTTGGGATGAAGCTTGGTGCCCTGTGGATGGATGGATGGGGCATAGCACACACCAGATGTGGCGGAAAGGAAAGCGACTTTTCTGTCAGAAGTGCAAGGCGCAAGCTTTGCCACAGGCTGCTGGCTTCAGTGCCAGCAAGGCCCTACGAACGAAGTGTGGAGCAGCACAAGGACAACAGCTTCCGCTTTGTTTCAGACCCAATGAGGTCAGCTCGTGAGCCCAGAAAAGGAGCGTAGAAAAAATGCACCCACGCACACTTGGTCTGAGCTGCGCCTGAATTCAAATTGGGTGCAGCTTGGCTACCAAAAGGGAAGGGCGATAGGTTGTATCTCCTGGATGATTCTTTCCTAATATTGGTTTGAACTCAAGACTTTGACAGCGCAGCAAACACACAAAAACAGAGTTTGTTTTGCTTTGGTAGAGCTACAGCAAAACTTCTTGCAAACAAGAAAGGACTTGTACAAGGATCTCCAAAAGGCAAAGGTGCACAACTGGGTGCTGGAGTGGGGCATTCTGCAATGCGCAAGTAGCCATCCTACCATGCACAGACAACCCATGTTCCCACCCTATCAGAAGTTGAGTGTTCATTTACTTTGAGTGTTCCGAAATCCAGTATTGTTGTTTTTAATTGGCATGCAGGTAGACATTTATCGTCATCCACCATCCAAGTCAGTGATACAGGATGTGCAAGCGATCCACTGGTTGGCGCGCACTCTCTAGAATAGTGGAACTTCCTCCTCTTGGTAGAAATCGAGATAGATATTCAACCTAAATGCAAAGAACAATCAGAAATATTTAACTTTTTTGATATGGGCACAACCACCTTTGGGTGAAATTTGTACGATTCGTCAGTTGCACACTTGCGAGAGATATCGCGCACTGCACATCTTGGGGCATGTCAAACGTTCCTTCCAATTGGAATTGGAATCGTCAGGCGGCGGCGAAAGTGAGATCCTAGGATCCTGTGGACGGAGAGTCTAGTTTGGCGTCAGAAGCTTGAGTCGAAGGCAGCAAGTGTGATAACATCAACCCGGTGGCCTGCTTATGCAAGCAAGTGGAGCCATGTATACAGATGGAAGCTGCGCTCGGCTTCGATTCTTTCAACACATTGTTTCACCAGCCTTCCATGGAACTCCATGGTTGATTCATTATACATACATACAGTTCTACACATAGTATTCCTTTCCAAACAATTTTCACCCTTCAGCTTGAAGAGACAAAGGTGCGTTGCGCAATCTGGAGCCGCGAGGTCGAGATTGAGGATTGTTTTGTCTTATGACACCAACAGAGTTGGCAGTGAATGCGAAGCTCTCTCCTGTATCTCCTGTCCCACTTACCAGTAGCTTGTGCGAATGACAAACGAAGATTCTGCAGCCTAGACACCAGAGCTCAATTGCAAACTCTAAGAGGAAACAGACAAGTAATAACAAGCGGCATGAGGCCCAAGGAAAGAGACTCAAGGACTCAAGGGCTCACAAAAACCAGCATAGTTTCTCTGAAGTCTACAGCATTTTCCTCAAGAGAGCGTATGATCATGATCAAGAGTCTTAAATGGCTACACATGATCATAAGTTGCTCTCCGAGTTGGTGAGAAGGGGCAGTTGATGTGACAGTTGATGTTAGTGCAGCCAATAAATCTGCCGGTTTCATCCTAGTTTTTACTGGCCTCTACTCTCCGCTGCTCTTTTTGGGCTTTTAGCTTTGAGCTGAGCTGCGACCTCGGAGGCTATCCAAGGCAACATTGCGACATGATCCAGCGCAGTTCAAAGTGACATGAGAGATGCCATTTTCCATGATAGAAACAGGAATTCACTCTGCAACACTGACGAATGGCAAACAACAACAACAACAACACGTCTCCGGGGATAGATATTTTGGTGAAGCAATGGCGCTCGCATCCGCACTTGCTGTGCTTTGTCCCACAGGATCGCACTTTGCCATGTTTCACAAAAGACAAACGTTTTGCTCCCGGCTTCTCAGGATCTGATGACTTCTGCGACCAGAGCGAAATGATCACCTTGACCACCAACGACGGCCACACCGTGTGCGCCAATTGGGGTCCACTAGGGCTGCAATGACGCACTTCCTCAAAGATATCCAAGGGCAGCTAGCACAATTTTTACTTGTTCTTGTCTAGCTCTTCTGGTTTGCGCTGATTCCCTGCGGGTAGAGCCTTGTTCTGGCGTTGCTTTCATGTTGGCAACCGTTCGCTGCCGCTTGCATGTGATCGATAAGGCCCTCCCGTTGGGGGAAGCTTGTGGAGGAGGTTTTGGATGGAAATATGAAGTATGAGATTCATCTGAAATGGTGCAGAAACGTGACATGATCAAGGGCGAAGGATGATTTCGCTGCGCGGGTGCAGTATTTTGTAAGGTCAGCACTTTGCGTCGCCCTGCCTTTGGGATTGGCATTCTCAGGTTGGAGGTGTTGATTCAGTGTCGCTCTGCTATTTGGGCATTGGCACATGTCGTGGAAGGCGCAGTTCTTCGTGCCTGTTGGAGGTGCTGGGAGGCAGTTTGCGTATTTTTGCGTGGCAGGTGCAGGGAATCGGGAGGTTGCGACCCGTGCAGGTGAATGTCGTTGTGCTGTGGGGGTTGGCGTGCTTGGCAGGGCTTCGCAGCGCTTTCGTTCTGATGAGGCTTCCCGCTTCACTTTTTTGTCTCTCCGGAAGTCCCGTACGAAGTGCTCACGCGTCGTGCAAAAGAACCTTACAAGAGTGTCCTACAATGGCCCTACAAGAGATCGCTACAAGAGTGTCCTGCAAGAGCGTCTCGCAAGACTATCCCACAACAGTGTCTGACAACACTGTCCCACAAGAAGGCCCTACAAGGGTACCTTTCAAGCGCGCCCTACAAGATTGTCCTAAGAGAGTGTCCGACAAGAGTGGCCCGCACGAGTGTTCCACAACCATGTCTTGTAAAAGACAAGAGTCACAAGAGTGAGTTATATAACAAGAATGTCCCACAAGAGTGTGCTACAAGATGCTACAAGAGAATGTGGCAAGAGTGTCCTGCAAGAGTGTCCCACACGAGTGCCTTACGGTATTACGAAAATGTCGTACCGTAAGCACCCTTTTAAAGGATTGTCGCGCAAGAGTGCCAAGCAAAAGTGTCGCACACGCGTGTTGTACAAGAGTGTCCTAGAAGAGTGTAACCCCAGAATGTCCTTGGAGAGTGTAAAGCAAGAGTATCTATCAAACAACGTTTGGCCGTTTGTTTTTCCGCGCTTGTGTGCATTCAGGTTCGTTTCATTGATCCATCTCAGATTTCGCGTAAGGCGATGCCTTGAAGGCTTGCTGCGAGCACGATGCCCCAAGGGCCCCCAGGCACATGTTGCGACAGGGAAAGAAGACAGCAAACAAGGAAGATCGCAAGCCGCAACGGAGAAAAACATATCCGAACGAATTCTCGGAAAAGGGCATCATGAAAACTGCTGTCACGGTTGTTTGCATTAACTTTCAACTTTGGCTAGATTAAGCCGATTAAGCATCCCGAACACATAGTTGTATCTTCCAGCTGAAGGCTGCCACTGGTGAAGAGTTCGGGGCTTATAATACACACTCATGAGAACTCACCGCATAGATGGCAACTTGTTGCAACTCAGTGTTTGAGTTTGTGTGTTCTTGCTTCATTTGGTCGTTGCTCGAGGCTGTCAGTTGTCCTCCCGCTGTTGCAATGGGTTTATGCAGCGCGGGTGCAGGAAGATGGATGTTTGAACTATTTGTGGTGAGTAGTCCTTTTCAGGTCCAAAGATCTCTTCGGGGTTTGGCATTGAAAATGGTGATCAAGATCCGCCCCAGACCATCACAATCGTTGCAACAAATTGATTGGCAACCTCCAGACTATCGAACCAGCGATTCTTTCATATTCTTTGTGACTTTGCCTTCCGTCATAAGAACCCGGCTCCTCTGAACCAGGTGCAAAGTGCAAGCAACTCCCAAGTTACATATTTCATCCTATTACACCATAAATCATGTGACTTATGAATCTGTGACTGTTTCTTGTTTTGCATGCCGAAATGCACCCCTGAGAAGGGCCTTGTAATTTGAAAGGTCTGAGTGACTGATCCGTGACACCTTTGTTCATGAGCTACATGATGTTCTTGGCTTTGGAGAGCCCTTTCCGAACCTATTGAGCCATACTAGCCCATCAAAGCGCACGCCCACTTGGAACTTGCAAGTTCCACCAATCTTGTTTGCAATGCTCCTTGCCATCATCTGAACATAAAACATAAAGCAGAACCAAACAAAACCAAAAAAACAAACAATCATTTCCAGACTAGTCCAATCCCAAAAAACCAAAAGAACCAAACAAACCAAACAGACCAAACATTTCCAGACCAGTCCAATCCCAAAAAAACAAAAGACCCACAAAAAATATAAAACAAACATTTCCAGACTAGTCCAACCCCAAGAAACCAAAAAAAGAAATATTTCAGAACTATGTTGAAGATGAGAAGATTGGACTAGTGTGGAAATCTTTTTTTTTGTCTCTTGGCTTTGTCATCCAGGATTATACAATCCAGATTAATCTGAAGTAATCTTCCTTAATGCACCCTACATGTTTGCTCCACACTCAAACCTTCATTTGCTGCTCATCTGCAGGATTTGGCTTGTAGCTCCTGCTTGATTTCCTTGCTCTTTGTTTTTCATTTCTCTCATATTCTTTCTGATTAAACATCATATCCTTAACATCATATAGCTTCCTTCTATCCTCATCAGTCTTGAGCCTCTCACATTCATACAGCATAATGTTATTCTTGAACATCAAGTCTATACAGTGATTAGCATAGGCTTCAAACTCAAAAACATTACTTACACTCTCAGGATTTTTCAACTGCCTTGTATCACCAGTGGCTACTACAATCTTGTCAGAATTGTTAAAATCAAACAAACTCCCCAAATCAAAGCCCATTTACATTATGGACATGGTTTATTGAGCTTCTCATCACCATAAGATATGCCAAACAACTTGTTGATGGTTACTGCTTCTGCACCGCATTCTCGTTTCAAATTATTAGTCGGCACTACAAATACTACTTTGCATTTTCTCTCCTGTAGGTGTTTACATATAATATGACTTGCCTGTTCCTCCAACATCACCTCTAACCATCAGTCTTTTTGTTGTGTTCATTGATAATCTCATCAGTGTTCCATTCATCTTTCACACAGCCGGTTTCATTTGAATACTCTATTATGCATTCTAAGAAGCTTGGTTTTCTACAAAAGGGTTGTGATGGAGTGCTGAACCTATTACAATACTTCCATTCACCAATACCATTGTCAAACTTTAAAAGACTCTTTGCCTTCCCTAAATTACATTTATCAATCACAAATGCATCAGTCTTTACTGAATACACCTGTATATATATATCATGCTGCTTCAGTTTCTCATAGGCAACATTCATACTATGGTTATGGTTTTGTAAAATCAGCTCTTTGATACACCTATATCAATTCTTTAGACTTTTGGTGTCACTTATGCTTGAAACATAATGCTTATCCACATTCAATTCTTTTTGGAAAACAAATTCATTTTGCTCCTCATCTATCTCATTTTCATTGCCTTTTTGATCTCTCTCAATTAAGCAATCAGCATCACACATCATAATTCTCTCCTCACCCTCCTTCATATATTCAGTGATTACATTTAAGTCACCACCATATTTCTCTTGATAGTAAAAGGCATCAATCATATTAGAAAAGGCTATCGACCTTTTTGCTACATTTGTTTGTTTTTTCCAGTAGTCCAATGTTGATAGAAGAATTCATCTTATTTCTTTTCTTATTTTTCTCTTCATCCTCATCCAGTTTTAAACTATACAAGTCATCAATCATTTTTTTTTGTAGTTGACCTTGTATGTATTAGATTGCACTTTGAACTACTGTAAATGATTTCAACAACACCAACATATTTCTTCACACACCTTCCATAAATCAAGTTTTGTTCTGTTGAGAAATATGTTCCAAACCTTGCTCTTCACTAAATACAATGTGAAAGAGTTCATCTTGCTGAAATCATATATTTGATAATCATACCTCTTCCAAATATCAAATTCAGAAAACACCGGTATCCTGACAGTGTCAACTGTGCCTTGTGTGTATGCCTTGTTCAGATCTATTTCAATGTGTTTATCTCAGACCCCACCTTTGGATTCAAAATATCCACTTGGTGCTATGGTGTGTGCCATTGAAAAGATGTTCATATCATTTTTGCGATAGTAGGACTTGTGATTGGGATTGAACATCCCCTTGTTGAAGTTGAACATGCTTCATTCACGCTATTGAACGTATCAGCATCACTACTTTCAATACAAGTATCTACAGCACAGTTTATCAAACTCTGACTTCTGATGTTCAAAGTCAGATTTCTTCCATTATGATTTTGGGTTCATACTTTGCTCTCTTGAACTCACAATATACATCATTAAGTTCCCTTCTACTTTGTCACATCACTGATGTCAATAATATTGATGGCAGTTAGATAGTCTTCAATGTTAGGATTTTGTGTTATTAGTTCTCTATTTTTCTTAACCAATCTCTCAAGCAATTGTTTAAATAGTTCTGTGTTATGTATTACTTCACACTCTTTATACTTGCCTTTCATATTCTTTCGCCAATTTCAACTACATTGACAAGCTCTTGAAGGAAGCATTGGCCCTTTGAATGTGTTGCTGACCTGATGCTAGAAGGGGAGCGCAAGCAAGCTGACTTACTGATTTTTATTCTATTTTTTTAAAATTAACCTTGCCCTGCATCAACTATGTAAGAGGATTAATACAGATTAATCTTCAGAACCCTGATTTCTGCAACCCACAACAGTCCCTTCTCATCAAAAAACATTGTATGTATATAGCTATATATATATACATCCATAACATAAATCAAGAGAGTAGTTCACTGCATTCAAAACTAAACAAGCTCTTCCAGTAGACCAAGATAAGGCCCAGGCTGAACCAGTTGAACTTGGTCTCAACGGGTCTTCAACCGGATATGTTCGACTCTTCATGTCACAGTTGGTCTATGTTTTTTCTTCAGCAGTGGTTTTTGAGCCTCTGTAGCAATCTTGGACAGGACCGTCCTTTTGCTTCTGGGATCGGAGATTGTGAACATTTTGCACGTATTCTGCGATTGGCAGAAGGTCAGCATGCTTGTACTTCTGTTCCTCCATGCTCTCCACACATTCAAAGCATCCCTTCAACAAGTGTTCATTTGCCTTGTTGAGTGAAGGCTGGGGACTACGAGACGTTGGCGAGCTACAGGAGACCCACACAGCTTGCTCAATCCTCTGGGATCATTTTTTATGATCATTAGCTTCAGCTAAAAGCTAACACTTGAAGATCCAAGCTTGGGTTCTTTGATGTATGTAGTTTTTGTATTCAGCTCGGACTCCAGACTCCTCAGCTTCCTTGCAAGGAACGGCTCATGGCCAAAAGGAGCCGTGTGAGGGGCGCTGGCACTTTGCCCGAGGCCCTGTAACAAGTATGTCAACTGCCAAACCAGCGATGACTATGGAACTGAGCGGCTGCGTGAGCAAACCACTTTTGCTGAAACTGTAAAAGCGAGATTTGAGAGGGCCTCTCGAAAGTGATAACCTTTGTTGTTCACGTCGTCCTCATCGTTTTGCAGCAACATTTTGGCAGACGCTCATGTGAAAGGAGACAACACGCCAATTGACACCATGTCTTCATACACGTTACATGTATGCATGTAATAATTTTTTCTTGATGGTCAGGATCTCTTGACTGCTTACCGGAGCAAGAGTCTGAAAGGGCGCTTCAGCTTTCTTTGCCCTGCTTGGCCTGGGTGCCAACGGGTGCGGACTGTCACATTTGACACGATTTGTGCAAGAAACTTCTCTCACACGATTATTTATGTTTTGCAGGCCTGTGCATAAGATCTAGACCTACAGGCAGATTAATGGCACAAATCAATGCAAACACAAACGTAGGATTCTTTTAGGCCTGTTTGAATGTGGTCATTGAACGTGGGTGTCCAGTATGCAGAGGCAGTGCTTGAGGTATAGGGAGAGAAGACGTGCTCATTGATGAACCTGCTAAGAACAGAGATTGTGAACCGAAGCGGTGGGGCTGTTTGATACAGCCAAGTTGAAGACTTTGCTCTTGAGGCCAAAAGAAGATGAGGCGGCCGTCTCTGAGCTGTTTGCTGCCACCTTTTCATCGTTTGACCTACCCATTTTCAATAATTTGCAGCCTGCGCACAACGAAAGCAATGAGTGAGTTTGGCCCTTGACTATCCAAATCAACTGCACTCGGAACGTGTGGAGTAAAGTTAAGTAAAGTGACACAGGAGATGGAACCGCTGGAGGGCGGTCTCACTGCGCTCTTGCGACCTCCTGAGTTGGCAAATGAACACATATATACAATATACAATACATTATATAAGATACTCTCTATATATATGTCACTTGTGCGCCACAACAACTGTGTCACAGTTGTTTTGAGCTGCTCTGAATCGGTCCCCATTTGACTGCACCGAGGCAAGTGCGCTCCGAGTACTTTCGTGCCATGCTCTCAGGTGCTTGGGCGGAAAGTCCGGAGACCAAGTGCAGCATGTGAAGAAAGTCACGTCAAGAACATAGCGAGGAGGGGATGCCAATGATAATTCAAATGGGCACAACTGTCTTTCTTTCAGAAAGATATGGGTGCAGCTCTTGGCAGCACTTTCCGCAACCTTGCTGCTCCACAGTTCCGCATGTAGAAAGAACAGAGGTGCTGAGAGTCCGATGCGCGCAACAGGGGTAATTACCTACCATTCAGATTTTGTTGAGGGAAGCGAACCGTGCTTGCTTCATTGAACAACATATAGTCCTTTTCTTTTGTGCACCTCTCACAGACTCACTGTTTTTCGCCATGCCGATGCCTGAAGAGAGGGCGAGAGAATCACCTCATTTCACAACGCTGCAGGAGCTTTACCAGGCGGTCGCAGGGTTGTTCAATCGTGTGTGTTTGCGTGCCTGGCGCGCCTCAACAATGTATCTCCCTTGGACCTGCCAAAGTTGTCACTTGTGTTTCTCACGTAGGATTTTTATACTAGGTGGCCATTTTGGAGATGGAGATTTGGGGGCAACGCGATGGTCATTTGCAGTAGAGAAGATATCTCTGGAGCTAGCCCTGAAAGGAAAGGAAGGTCTTTGTGGATTTGCCTCAAGACATCTATGGCGTGGCAATCGCTGCAGCAATTGGGGACTTGTCGGTCATCATGCACGGGCAAAATGTGAAAAAGGTGCGGTGGGCACTAATTATTACAGACACCAAAAGTGGCAGACGTGCATCAGATTTAGTCACAATTCAGTTGTCCTGACTCTCCCTCCCTCTCTCTCTCTCTCTCGCTCTCTCACTCACTCAATCTATCCATCTATATATCTATCCATCGCATCTCATGCATGCTCCTTCCACTTCCCTGTCTGCAGCCTGGCATGGGACGTTGCAGGGATACGCTGCACTCACTCACTCACTCACTCACTCTCTCTCTCTCTCTCTCTTTCTCTCTTTTTTCCTCCCCTCTACACACAAAAAACAACATGTAGTTTTTTTTGCTTTTGGCGCTCCCAAAATTAGTGAGATTTGCAGTGGGTCCAGGAACAATTTTGCACAGACCTTTTCATTTCTTTGCTTCATCCGAATCATCCTTCCTTGAAGGTGAACTTCGCAAGGCTGATATTTGGCATTGTGACGTTGGCCGTGAACTTGTGGCTTCAACTCTTCATCCTGTACTATGTGAACCACTATATTGTGTGCCTTGGGTTTTGAGACGGTTCAGGAGAAGTGCAAAACTTATCATTTTTTTTGACCTTCTGATTTCATGATTCCAACTCATGAAGACGAGTTGATCTTCAGCCATTATCAAGTGTCAGTCCTCGTGCACATCATAGCACTGACCAGCATCCATCTCCCGAGGCAAAATGCTGTGCACGACGCCCAGGAGAATTATGCACAATTCCATCGCGAAGTCTTTTCCGAGGCCTTGCTGAGGGAAAGAATCTCTTGGTCAAATGGATCGTGAGACATTAGCCTTTCTGAGACCAGCATTTTTCTGTCTTACCTTGAGGTCAGACGGTCTAAGTGTGTCGCGAGAATAATGTCAAGTAATTCAGACTGCCAGGACGGCGAGTTTGTGCAAGAGAAATGGGATAATTGGAACAATGGCCCTTACATGGAGCTTTGCAACATGGCTGCTTGGCGTTGAAGAAAATCAGGGTGCTTCCTTTGAAGAGCCCTTGCTTAGGTGGTGCCAACCTTACCGTCTCGCGGCTCAAGGTCCTTTAAATTTCCCTCACCTCCACTTCACTGCACAGAAAACGGATTAAGAAACAGACGATGCAAAAAACAGAACTGCACAGTTTCTGAGGCTGTGAGCAAGCTCAGCTTTTCTGCACCTTGGCAACTCTGAAGTCTGAAGTTTGATGAAAGTCTCCACAGGACAACTAGAAAAGGGTAGTGAAACATAAAAGAAGAAAGAGAGCGCCCTTTCGAGACTAGACACCCTGTCAAAGCGTAGTAGTTAGGCATAATGGCATCCAATGTTGTTGAAGCTGCGGGTGAAATTTGACTGCCCTGGCTTCTGATTTTGCAAACGTCGGGAGCAAGCCATCCTTCATGCTATTCGTGCAATGTTCATAATGTTCATGATTTCCAAGTGTACTTTCTGCAGTAATTAAGGAGCAACCTCTCTAACAGGACTACATAGCAAGTCATTGGACGAACGTTGCATGCATACCATTTGGTCTCCTACGCAAGGCAGGCATCGTCTTCCTTTGGTGTGCACGCATGTTGAACGAAGCGCCTTGGCATTCTGTTTCATCACATCGTGTCTTGGACATGACTTGTCTCGAGCGACATGCTTGGCTGGAGGTGCGTGACAGCTGGCAACTGGCTCATGACATGTTTTCCATTGAGAATTTGCCGGCTGAAGCCAAACCGCATGAAATGTTGTACGAGGCGAGGAACATGGGCTTGGTGCAAAGGAGCCCACAAGAACGTGGAACTGTTGGGTGGAGTTTTCCGGAGTGTCCAAGTCCTATAATCTACGCGAATCTTCACACTTTGTTCATAGCAGCAGCCCGACCACATCCAGAATTGTCAGCATTGTGTGGTTCGGCGAAAAGTCAGCTTGCTAGCCAGATGCAAAACACCTGGATTGGCCTTGGATGTTTCTGGAAGAGCCTTTGCATAAGCCTTGAGCCTTTCACATGTTCAACATGGCCTTTCCATGCGTTTTTCGGAGGTGCTGGATGACAGTGGAGAAACTCTGCGGGTGGAAATTGTGGCTGTGAGTTGGCAAGCGAGATTCATTGTGTCGATCTTGGTTTTGCTACCCAAGAGACTCGGCCGAGAGGACGAAGCGAAAAGAACGTCCACCCTAGCTTCGCCCTCTTCGCAGAGGGGTGAAAAGACTCCAGATTATCCTATTAGGAATTAGGAGTATTTCCCCAGATAGCGAAGCTATGGGGTTCTTACTTCTAATAATTCTCCAGATAGCGAAGCTATGGGGTTCTTACTTCAAACAACAATGAGTTGCCCGTGCGCGCTTTCGAGACAGGTTGCTGGTGCTGGTGCTGCTGGCTGTGCACGTGGTGGAGACAGGTTGCTGGTGCCGGTGCTGGTGCTGGGTGCCGGGTGCCGGCGCTGGTGCTGTGAGCTGGCTGTGCACGTGGTGGAGGC